AAAAAAAAAAGTACTTGGGGGTGTGTAGGCTTTCAGGCTACAAGTTATTCAGTTGGTAATGTCACAGTGGTCCTACAGAGTTTAGATTAAAGTGACCTCTTAGAGAAAAGACTGGAAAGGCTAATTTGGAAAAGGTCAAATCTTATACAATCTATAGTGTCACTTTTATTTATAAAAAATCCAAGTAGAACGTGAGCTATGTAGTTTATTTTCATGCAGGTTTTTTTTGTTGTTTTTTTTGAGACAGAGTCTATGCCATCCTTGGTACAGTGCTGTGGGATCATAGCTCACAGCAACCTCAAACTCTTGAGCTTAAGCGATTCTCTTGTCTCAGCCTCCTGAGTAGCTGGTACTACAGGCACCCACTACAACGCCTGGCTATTTTGTTGTAGTTGTCAGGCCCAGGCCCGGCTCAAACCCACCAGCCTCTGTCTATGTGGCCGGCACCCTACTCACTGAGCTCTGGGCGCCAAGCCTTTCATGCAGTTTTCAAATTAACAGTTCATCCAGATTTCTTCCACTAGAAATACGCAGTGTACAGAAGGGAGGTGGCATACCAATAAACCTCAGGTAAGGATGAGCAACACTAAGGCATTAGTAACTTTTCCAAAAGCACTATAGTTACTTATTTTATTGTTACAAAGTTATTCCTTTTCAACATAGAATATTTGCAAGCTACCCAGTGACTATTTTCTGTATATCCCTCAGATCTTTGTATGTATTTAATTACAGGTTGATACTTGATACATTGTCAGTTAACCTGCCTACCTTTTTCACTTACCAAAATACTGTGAATATATTTTCATGTCCATAAAAAAGTTATGCCCAAATGTAATTAATAGCTTTTCCTTATGAATTTTCCTTCAGAAAAGAGAGAATTACTTTATATTTAAGGTCTTGCAATAACTTTTACAATGGGCACTCTCAGTTTAGTTTGAAGTAGGTACAGTTTAGGAAAGGCTTTAATCTGAAATAATCCCCAGTCTATGCTAGTTGTGGATGCTTACAGAGATCATTTGTTTGAATTAGTTTTTTTGTTTAAAGTAGGAAAGTTGAACACAGTGTATTCCTAGGACATGACTTTGTATGGAAATGTTGACTATTGTTATAAATAGGCCTTTTAAAGATTACTTAAATCAGTATAGGAGTGGTGACATTATGAAGTTTTTGGTTATATACTTGGAGGAAAAATGAAGAATGTGATTATATAGTTGGTGGTTGGCATAAAATTTTCAGGGATAGCATCATGCATGGATTGAAGGACAGGAACTTTATAAAGCTTTTGCTAGATTGCCAGATTATAGGTAGGTATTATATGTAGTATTGCCAGATTATATGTAGGTATTTTGTACCTATTTAGATCCCTATACAGAATGATAACAATGCTTATTTCCCCCCAAGTCCTTGCCAACATTGGGCTTTATCAATTAAAAAAAAATGTCTCCCCACTTACCAGGTGCCTTTTTTTTTTTTTCTTGAGATGGAGTCTCAAGTTGTTGCCCTGGGTAGAGTTCTATGGCATCATAGCTCACAGCAACCTCCACCTTGGGCTAAAGCAGTCCTCTTGCCTCAGTTTTTCTATTTTTAGTAGTGATAGAGTCTCTTTTTTGCTCAGGCTGGTCTTGAACTTGTGAGCTCAAGCAATCCACCTGCCTCAGTCTCCTAGAGTGCTAGAATTACAGACATGAGCCACTGCGCCTGGCCTTACCAGATGTCTTTTGATGAGCTTGAAAAAAATGTTTCTTTGCCATTTATGTCTTTTTTGGCCACTGAATGATCTGTTTGTGATCTCTGCTTATGTTTTTCTAATAGTGTTTCTTTTTCTAATGTGATTTTCTTACGTAATTTATAATGGATTCTTTTTATTTATTTATTTATTTTTAATTTTATAGACAGGGTCTCACTCATTGCTGAGGTTGGGATACAGAGACACAATTTTAGTTTGCTGTAACTTTAAAGACCTAAGCTCAAGTGATCCTCTCATTTCAGCCTCTTGAGTCGCTAGGACTAAAGGTGTATGCCACAATGCCTGGCTAATTAAAAAAAAAAATTTGTAGAGACGTGGTCTCACTATGTTGCCCCCACTGGTCTTGAACTTCTCACCTCAAGAGATCCTCCTGCCTTAGTCTCCTAAAATGCTGGGATTATAAGCATGAGCCACCATGCCCAGCCTTGTAAGGGACGCTTTTTTTGAGACAGAGTCTTACTTTGTTGCTCTTGTAGAGTGCCATGGCATCACAGCTCACAGCAACCTCAGACTCTTGGGCTTAAGCAATCCTCTTGCTTTAACCTCCCAAGTAGCTGGGACTACAGGCACCTGCCACAACGCCTGGCTATTTTTTGTTGCAGTTGTCATTGTTGGTTAGCTGGCCTGGGCCTGGTTCAAACCTGCCAACTTTGGTGTATGTGGTTGGTGCCGTAACCACTGTGCTATGGGCTAAAACCTTCACCATAGTGTTTGTACCTCAGATAAAACCTCTAACTACAGACTTGGATGGGCCTTTCTGGTCTCTGCCTCACTGTGACCCCACTCATCCCCTGGCTGCTGGTTGGTTCCCCTTAGGCTGGTCTTGAACTTTTTTTTTTTAAGAGACAGGGTCTCAGTTTATCACCCTCAGTAGAGTGCCATGACATCACACAGCTTACAGCAACCTCCAACTCTTGGGCTTAGGTGATTTTCCTGCCTCAGCCTCCTGAGTAGTTGGGACTGTAGGCGCCCACCACAACACCTGGCTATTTTTTTGTTGCAATTTGGTCAGGGCTGGATTTGAACTCACCACCCTTGGTATATGGGGCCAGTGCCCTACCCACTGAGCCACAGGCGCCGCCCTGGTCTTAAACTTCTGAATTCAAGTGATCTACCTGCCTCAGCTCCCAGAGTGCTAGTATTACAGGTGTGAACCACTGCACCTGGCTTGGACTCTTTTTGAGGCAGGGTCTTACTCTGTCACCTAAGCTAGAGTGTAGTGACGTTGTCATAGCTCATCTGCAACCTTAATCTTGAGTTCAAGCAGATTCTCCTGCCTCAGCCTCTTGAGTAGCTGGAACTCCAGGCATGCACCATGACACCTGGCTAACGTTTTTTTAATTTTATTTTTTGTAGAGTTGAGGTCTCAGTGTGTTCATTAGGCTGGTCTCAAACTGTTGGCCTCAAGCAATTGCCTCAGCCTCCCAAAGTGCTGGGATTATAGTTGTGAGCCACCACTAATATGTTAAAGATATTAGTTTTGTATATGTACTGCAAATAATAATTACTACCTTTTTTTTTTTTTTTTTTTGCCCTCAGTAGAGTGCCATGGCATCATAGCTCACAGCAACTTCAAACTCTTAGGTTCAAGTGATCCTACTGCCTTAGTCTCCCAAGTATCTGGGACTATAGGTCCCCCACCACAATGGCCAGCTATTATCTTTGTTCTTAATCTTTCTGCTCTTTCTGATTTAGTCTTGACTTGTCCAAACTTACTTGTCATGGCAATGTAATCTGTGTGAATGCTCATCTTAATTTCTTGATTTGCTTTTTTATTTCAGGGCGATGCTGGATCTTTTCTTGTCTGAATGTTATGAGACTTCCATTCATGAAAAAGTTAAATATTGAAGAATTTGAGTTTAGTCAGTCTTACCTGTTTTTCTGGGACAAGGTATGGGACTGATCTGGCAAGACTCTTTTTGTTTGGATATCAACTTTACTAGGGACTACTTCTTCATTTCTTGCTTTTCTAGTTATAGTCTGCCCTGTTGTTATAGTTGGGACACCTTTTATTCTGATTTCCAGTGTAGCAAAAATTATCTCTTTTCAAATGAAATAATAAGTCTGTTGATTACCTGACTGCTTGCTTATTTATTTAAAATTTAAAATTTTATTTGTAATAATTTTCCTTTTTAGCATCTTTATTTAGCTTATTTAGTTCTTTCTAGAACCTGTGTACCGTTTTCGGTAGTACTTATCTGAAAATCAGCAAGTAATTTTATTTCAGATATAAGAAGAAACTTTAAATATTCTTATAAAGCTATATACTAATTATCAATTTTAATTTAAAAAATATATTAATAATGTTTGTTTCAGCATCACTTATACCCAAATTAGAATGATACAAAGAATATTAGCATGGCTTCTATACAAGGATGACATGCAAATTTGTGAAATGTTTTATATTTTAAAAAAGAAAAAAATAACATTATGTAGAGTCCATGGTAATTCCATGATTCCCATTCTGTTGACAATGCCAGTAAAGTTACTGATTCTCTTTTCTTTTAATTCTGTTTAACTTCCTTTAATTTAATTTAACTCTAGGTTGAACGCTGTTATTTCTTCTTGAATGCTTTTGTGGACACAGCACAGAAAAAGGAACCTGAGGATGGGAGACTGGTGCAGTATTTGCTTATGAACCCTGCAAATGATGGTGGGCAGTGGGATATGCTTGTCAATATTGTTGGTAAGAGCCTTTATTTAATGGAACTGAAAGTCTACATGATTGAGCAAGGTTTTATAGGTATAGGCCATTTCTTCTGTGGTTAGATACAGAGTAGAATTGGTCTCTAAGAAGATACATAGCTCTAAGAACCTTTATTTCACATTCTCACCTATAAAGTGCCTTTCTTAAATGAGGGGGTAAGGAGATATGTATAGTAAAGGGAGGGTTAGGGAAGAAAAGACAGTATTAAGTAGAAGTAATTTTCCATATAAAAACCCATCGCCTATTCTTTGAAATAATCAAGAAACACATTAAAACGGCAACTGTTAGGTAATGTCCTCATACAAACATTATCTTTTGGAGAAACCTCGTCATGCTAAGCACTTAAAGCATTGTAAATAACAAAAATAAAATTAATTCTAAGATAAATACACACATTAGAAACCTGTTTAATGATATGAAGTATAAGATTTTCTAAACGAAACCAACAAAATATGGCCCATTTTTTAAAGTAGTAGCTATTTTTGCCAATGTTTCTAATACTGGTGTATACTTTTACCTTATTAAACACTAAAATGTATTTTCTTTTAGAAAAATACGGTGTTATCCCTAAGAAATGCTTTCCTGAATCTTACACAACAGAGGCAACCCGAAGGATGAATGATATTCTGAATCACAAGGTACAATATATGGAGCAGGGTAGAATTGAGTTTACTGTGTATATGGTAAAAACTTCTGGCCAGGTGTGGTGGCTCATGCCTATAATCCAAGTACTTTGGGAGGCCAAGGCAGGAGGATCACATGAGGCCAGGAGTTTAGGATTAGCAACATAGTAAGACCCTGTTTATTCAAAAAATATAGAACTTAGGTGTAGTGTGTATACCTATAGTTCCAGCTATTTGGAAGGCTGAGGCAGGAGGATTGGCTTGAGGCCAGGGGTTTGAGGTTGCAGTGAGTTATGATGATACTACTGCACTCTAGCCTGGGAAACAGAATAAAACACTATCTCAAAAACAAACAAACAAAAATTTCTAATTGGAGGCCAGGAACGGTGGCTCATGCCTATAATCCCAGCAGTCTGGGAGGCCAAGGTAGGTAGATTGCCTGAGCTCACAGGTTTGAGGCCAACCTAAAAATAGCTGGGTGTTGTAGTGGTGCCTGTAGTCCTAGCTACGTGGGAGAAGATAAGAGAATCGCTTGAGCCCAAGAGTTTGAGGTTGCTGTGAGCTATGATACTATGACACTCTACCGAGGGTGACAAAGTAAAACTCTGTCTCAAAACAAAACAAAACTTCTAATTGATTTTTAAAAGAAGTTCCTGGGTATTTTAGTGTTCACTGTTGATGTACACTGATGTCAATGTCAGTCAAAAGCAATGTGCTGGCTGGCATGGTAACTCATGCCCGTAATCCCAGCACTCTGGAAGGCCGAGGCAGGTGGATTGCTTGAGCTCAGGAGTTGGAGACCAGCCTGAGCAATAGCAAGATCCCACCTCTAGAAATAGCCGGGTCTTGTGGTGGGCGCCTATAGTACCAGCTACTTGGGAAGCTGAGGCAAGAGGATCACTTAAGCCCAAGAGTTAAAGGTTGCTATGAGCTATGACATCATGGTATTCTACCAAGAGCGACAAAGTGAGACTCTGTCTCAAAAACAAAAAAACAAAAAAACAATGTAGCTACATACTAACCTTAAAAATAATTGAAATTAAAGTGTTTTTCTTTTCCTTTTTAAAAAACTTCTATTTGGGGGCAGCACCTGTGGCTCAGTGAGTAGGGCACTGGCCTCATATACCAAAGGTGGAGGGTTCAAATCCAGCCCCAGCTAAACCACAACAAAAAATAAAAAATAGCCAGGTGTTGGTGGACCCCATGTGGTCCCAGCTACTTGGGAGGCTAAGGCAAGAGAACTGCCTAAGCCCAGGAGTTGGAGGTTGCTGTGAGCTGTGATGCCAAAAATAAATAAAATGAAACCTTTAAAAAAAAACACAAAAAAAACTTCTATTTTTATTTCTGTTGATTTTAATGTTTTCTTAGGAGTATTAGTGAAAGAAAGTCACACAATTAATATGGACCACAAGCACTGAGCGCTGTGTCTCTCACGTGGTTCTAGTAGAGGTGGGCTGCCTTATGTACTAGTAAAACCAAAAAGAATTATTTGCAAGACTCCCTCAAAGAATATACGTTCTGAGATTTCCCCAGACCACATTTATGTGGTTTATCCACCCACTAAATATTTGAAGTAGTCACAGAACTGCTTTTTATTGCTTCAGTTATCTTAAGGAATCATTCTTCTCTACGCAACCCGTTTTTCCAAGGAGGATTATAAATCCTATAGGATGCTGCTCTGCTTTTTTGAGAACTGGAGTTTGCCAGAATCCACTGTCCTGACCTAGGGGGCTAAAATTGGATTTGTTATCCCTGGAAGAAAGACTACATTTTAAAATAAACTATAAATGTGATTTCCCAATATTAGAAGTAGGATATATTTACCCCAGAAACTCTTTATCCAAAGCCTTAAAGATCATTAATAGTGTATCATTGAATTCCTGGGGATTTTAATTTGTTGGGTTTTTTTTTTTTTTTTGATATAGGGTCTTGATCTATCTCCCAGGCTAGTGTGCAGTGGCATGATCATAGCTCACTGCAACCTCAGACTCTTAGGCTCAAGCAGTCCTCCTGGCTTTGCCTCTGAGTACCTGGAACTATAGGCAGGCACCACATTATACCTGGCTAATTTTTTAAAACTTTTTTCTAGAGATAGTTTTGATATGTTTCTCAGGCTGGTTTCAAACTTCTGGGCTCAAGCAGTCCTCTTGCCTTGGCCTCCCAAAGTGCTAGGATTACAGGTGTGAGCCACCATACCTGGCCTGGATTCCATTTTGAGTGGGAGCAAGATCCTCTTAGTTAAATTTCAGACTCACCTTTATCTCGGGTGTCTCTTAAAATTGAAAGCAAAAATAATGAGAACTATATTGGGTGTTGGCATAACCATAGTCACAGTGATTTGGCAGAAAAGTAGTACACAACTGTGAAAATTATATTAATAAATAAATTAAAATTATAAATATATTTATTAATTATATTAATAAATCTGTTAGCGTGGCTTAGTGATATAACCATCTTCTTTCCTACGTCTTCTAAGGGCAGTGAGCATTACAGATAAGGATCAGATGTTTTCCCCATGTCAAGGTACATGATGTCACATTTGCAGAGCAAGGGCAGTTCCATCTAGTTTTCTTTGGGAATAAACTGTCTTTTCTCCTTGTGAATTTTTAGCTGTGTATTTAAGTAGACTAGCTAGGGAAAAATATACTTTTATGAGCTTTGTCTCAGGTCTTAGCTGAGGTGTACTTCAAAATAGAACAAGCATTGGTCTGTTAGGCTTATTTACGGTGGAATTTGGGTAACTGTTGGAGTGCTGACTAAATTTCTGTCATAGATGAGAGAGTTCTGTATACGACTGCGCAACCTGGTACACAGTGGAGCAACCAAAGGGGAAATCTCAGCCACGCAAGATGTCATGATGGAGGAGGTAAAGACAATTATTTGGAGTTTTTCTGCCCTTTTTTGAGAATTCTCAGAATATTCTTATCTGTGAAACTATTGACTAGGGAGTGCAATCATTGCTATGTGTGTTTAATTGAATTGAAAATTGCTTATTTTACAGAGCTGAATAAACTGAGCTTTAAATTTCTTTTGCATATTTGTTTGAAACTTAGGTTTTCTGATTTCTATTTTAGTGGCTTATATTCATTTCGTAAATACTGACTATCTTCTGTGATTTTGGCACTGGTGAAACAAAGATGAGAAAGACATAATGTCTATTCTCAGGGAGCTCAGTCTTTGGGAAAAAAGAAAACACATGTATAATTATAGTAAATCCCATGCTGGATGTAAAAAATGAACCGGTGGTCTCTGAGAAGGGAGTGATTAATTTATTGAGCTAAAGGTAACACAGGGAAGTTATTTGAATCAGTTCTTGAAAGAGCAGCAGGAATTTATCAGGGGGGTAACAAGAACATTCTAGGGCCATGAACGTAGGTAGAACCTTCATGAAATAGTGTGGCTGACAAATATTATCAGTATGACTGATAGCCAATTAAGCTAGAAAGGCAGAGATACAAGGGATCTTGGGTAGACGTCAGGTCTTTTGGCTTTATTCTGAAGGAATAAAGATAGGGAGCTATTGGTGGTTATAGCTATTAAAATAATGTATGTGAAAACATTTTGGAAAACTTAAAAGCACTAAATGAATATAAAAGTGGTAATATTATTTATTATCAAGCAGTTAGGCCTCTTTACTGCTAATACTGTTCATATCCAGTACAACTATGCATAAGACTATGAAATAGCTTTGAGAAAAGAATAAACATTTCCCTTTCAGCTAGTGGGACCATCAGTAGTCCTCCTTTTAAGACTGTGTGGAGTTAAATGGCTTACTCTTTTCTTTCCACTGCAATGGAAAACACTAATGCTTCACTCATTTTTTTCCTTTAAATACTAGAGAGGAAGTATAATGAAGTAGTCGAGAGTGTGGTCTCTGGAGTAGCACTTTATGAGTTTTGGTCTTCTCATTACTTGACAGCAGTATGTTTTATGACAAGTTCCTTAAGCTGTCAAGTCTCAGTTTATTCAAATGAAACATGTCTAGCCTAGTGGTTAACATAATAGCTATCTCTTAAATACTGTTGAGTAGATGAATGAAGGGGTTTCATTTACCAAATGAACTATTTTAATTACCTCATG